CTGCTCGACATCTCGTATGCCAGCACAGCTTAAAAAAAAAAAAAAACAGAACACAGGAGTTGAACAGACAGGAGTTACATATTAAAAGAAGGAGCAGCCTAAGTTTCCTTCATTATTTTTGAAGTAGGTTCACTTTGTTGGCAAAAACAGGTAGAAAACTTTGAGTGTGCCTTGTTCTTATCCTGTACCACCGAACCAGTTTTGACAGCTTTTTCTGTTGTTTTATATTCTTCTGGTATGATGCTTCCCCCTTCCCTCCCCAAAAAATAGTTCAAATTAAAACCTTTAAATGTCGACCATAAAAAACCAAACCAAACACATTGCCGTCAGATCCAACTCATAGCAACCCCTCCTTGGGTTTCCGAGGCAGTATCACTACAGAAGTAGATTGCCCAGCCTTCCTTCTGAGGAATGGCTGGTAGGTTTGAACCGCCAGCCTTCTGGTTAACAGTCAAATAGTTATCTCTAAATATCATCAATGTGTTGGAAATTTTTAGGTAAATTGGAAATGGTGAAGGAAAGAAAGAGGGTGAACAAAAAGGGAAATAAATGTACAGTGGTTGCCAGTGGTTAACCATTTCCAACCAAATCCTTTCACATTAGTTTTACTGCAGTAATTACCTCCTAAAGAGTCCCTGGGTGCCACAAATGGTTAACATGTTTGACTACTGACCAAAAGGTTGGAGGTTTTAAATGTACCCAGAGGTGCCTTGGAAGAATGGCTTGGTGTTCTACGTCGGAAAAAAAACAGCCACTGAAAACTCTGTGGAGCAGTCTGACACACTGTAGTCACCATGAGTCAGTGTCAACCAGCTGGCAACTGGTTTGTGGTTTTGTTTGTTTTTAATTGATTACTATTTGTGGAGAACAAATAAGAATGGCTCAAAAAAAAAAAAAAAAAACATAGCAACCCCTCCTTGTTTTCCAAGGTAGTACCTCTATGGTAGTAGATTGCCCAAATCTGCCTTCTGAGGAGTGGCTGGTGGGTTTGAACCACTAGCCTTCTGGTTAGCAGTCAAATGCCTTAAGCACTCTGTTATTTTTCCGCCAGACCTTCCCATGGTTTCTCTCCTTTTTGAATCCTCCTTTGCCAGTTACTCCTTTTCATGAAGGAAGAGACCAGTGTGAAAGGAAAACAACTAGTTTTGGGGAAGAATGCTTCCTAGAAAACGTACTCATTTTCTTTACCCTTATGCATTGAGAGTAATGAGCATTTAGTGTCTAGACTGTATCTGAGCCCCACCTTAATAGATAGGGCACACAGCCATGTCAAGACAGTGTTATTGCTGTCAGGTGCCATTGAGTCAGTTCTGATTCATAGCGACCGTGTGTACAACAGAACGAGACACTGCCCCATCCAGTGCCATCCTCATAGTCTTTGCTGTGCTTAAGCCCACCATTGCAACCACTGTGCCAGTCCATCTCTTTGAGGATCTTCTCCTTTCTTGCTGACCCTCTACTTTCTACCTTCTCCAGGAATTGGTCAAGACACTAACAGTGGGCTTTCAGGGCTTCTGGTCATAGAGAAGACCATGCAGACTGGTCCAAGCCTTAATTGTGCTTCCACGGACCCTTGCCAGTAGATATTTTATGATAACCACAACCCACCATTTAAAGAGCCTCTCCATGTGAACAGTAAATCAGGAACTATAGAAAACTCCAGTCATTTGCCAATATTCTGATTTGCCATCTTTGAATGGGAAATAGCTAACCCTTAGAGCCTTGTTGTTGCTTTTGTTGCTAGCGGCCCTGTGTACAACAGAACTACACATTGCCCTTGCTTGCTCTTTCTTCACCGTGTCCATTGTTGCAGCCACTGTGTGTTTCAAGTGCTCTCCAAATCCGTGAGCTCATCTTCCAGCACTGTGTTGAACAGTATTCTATTGTGATCTGTAGAGTTTTCGTTGGCTAATTTTCAGAAGTAGATCTCCAGGCCTTTCTCCTAGTTTGTCTTGATCTGGAAGCTCTGCTGAAACTTGTCCACCATGGATGACCCTGCTGGTATAGGAAATACCAGCATAGCTTCTAGCATCAAAGCAACACACAAGCCACCACAGTACAATAAAAACAAATGGTGGCTTAACTCCTTGGAACCATTCATTATAGAGCTAGAAGAAATCACAGGAATCTAGTTCAATGACCTGCTTATCACAGAGGAGGAGACAGAGGCCCCAGGAGGAAGGATACAAGCTCTGTCTCCTGTCACCCACTTGCTGGAGGGCTCCTTTGGTCCTTAAGGTACAAAGATAATGGCTACAGATCTCACCCCTGCCCTTAACTCTACTCCTAAACCTTCTGGTCCTGTCCTCTGCATTGAGGCATTTTTAAAATATCCTAGAGATAGCTGGGGAGACCTTCCATTGCTCTCAGTAGAAGCATGGCCTGTTCTGGAGCAGCACCCTCTCAGGCACCCTAGGTGTGACACACAGGGCTACCTCCACACCTAGGATCTGCCTCTTTCCAGCTCCTAAGCCTCTTGATGGAGGGAGAATGAGGCTGCCAATCCTCTACAGGACAGCTGGGTTCATCTCTCCTGGGCCAGGAACCCATGATAGTGGACAAGCAGACAGGCTGGGACTGAGACACAGAGTCCCAAGAGAAATCTGATTTCCCTTTCTGGCATTTTATTCAAAATATGTTCAAATAAACAATCTCATTTCATCTTAATGAGAGAAAGTTGTTTTAAACAAAATTGAAGTATCAAAATAGAACTGCATAATTAGCAGAAATCTTGATGTAGAAATTGTCTTGGGCTTCTCAGATCTTGCATGGGAAAACATTTTTATTAGAACAAATCCCTTTGCAGATAACTAGAATTGTCTCTCACAAAACTATGGGTAGTATTTAGAGAGTAAGTGTTCCAGAAAATGATGAAGAATATCAGACCTTTTCTTTTCCTAGGTTTCTTATTAATAGACACTTCATTTTCTTACCTGGAGAGCAAATAATTTTAGCACCTTATTTATTTTGTGGGAGCTCTGGTGGTGCAGTGTCTAAGGCACTTGACTGCTAACCAGAGGCTTGGCGGTTCAAACCCACCAGCCACTACTCAGAATGAAGATTGGGTGATCTACTTCCATAGTGATACTGCCTCAGAAACCCAAGGAGGGGTTGCTGTGGGTTGGAGGTGACTCGACGGCACATAACAACAACATTTATTTTGTAAATTAGTTATTTGACATGTTTGTTGAATTCATTACTCTCTTAATATTCTTAATTATAATCAAAGTTGGTGATAAGGTCATTAACCAGTGGCTTTGGAATGCTGATGTGGGCATGAGTGTTTTCTGCCAACAGTAATAGGCAACCAGAGTTGGTCCCAGGGCTCAGAAATAAATGGTACATTATAGTGTGTGTAAAACAGAAAGGCTCCTGGTGGCTTTTATATTGGGAGTATTGAAGTGTTAAATTATAGTGCGATGGGTTTGTTGTTTGGTAATCAAGTTGTTCAGACAGTCCATAAATCCCAAAAATGCCTAACTACTATACAAGTGTTCTACAACATTAAGTAAAATGTTTGGGTATGATTGACATCTTAAGATTTTGTGCTGAATACTGTAGGGGATTTGTGAATAATAAATACCACAAAGAAACTTTTGATATCTGTTCATTAAGTATGAAAAAATTACATAGCATATTACCTGTTAACGTATTTAATCTAAAAGTATTTCTAGATTTTTTAGTAATATTTAAAAATTGGCTTGTATTTAAGGGGATGAACATCATCATCAGTCTTGCAGTCTTGCTTTTCAGGAGAAAGTGTCTCCAAATAATACTGGTTGGTAAAAATAAGATAACTGACTTCTTTTTTTTTTTAACTTTTTGTCTTTATTGCCAATCCTGTTTCTTGACCTTCTTTTCAGTGTCCGAAAAGTTAAAGAAGTGATTATTCTGAGTGTTACTAAAGATTAGCAAAGAGAAGTTTTGCTTCATTGCAAACAAGACATGCGATAATTATTAGTGCAACCAAAAGCAGATGAAGGCACTGTGAGGATCCCAGCAGCATTTAATGAGCTGGCAGTGGTGTTTTGCTAAATGTTCACTTCTACAGGCATCTAGTATTTAATGGGTTTTGATGTAAATAACCCTCAAAAGGCATGTCCTGAAGGCAGTTCTTACCAATGGTGAGAAGCTTGGGAGTATTCATGTGTGGGAGGAATCTCGGCCCTCTCTTTTCTCCCAATCTATGCATCTGACTGATAAGCTCTTGGGCACAGGCTCTGTCATCCTCATGATATTACCTGGGAATGACTGGCTGCTCCAGCTCACTACGATCTTCAGACTTGCAGGAGCAGGCGGGCAGCCATGCAGCTGAAGGCAGAGGAGCTGTGGGTCTCTGTTGCTATAGCTGTGATGTCACACGCCAGTCCTAACCGGTGGTTGGTTATTTTGTGTTTCAGCTCCCTGCCTGCGGTTGAACACAAAGACCTGGAGGAGACTCCCACATCCTTCAGTGAGAAGAAAGGAGGCAGCGAAGCAGATTAAAGGAACTTGTGTCTTGTGGCCTTTTTAGTGCAAAGGTTGCCTTTAGGGTAGAAGAGTGAATCGAAGCCACAGTGGCAGTTAATGAGCTGTGAGATGAGGCACTGCTACTGACACTCAGACCCCGGGATCGTCTGCCACCCTTTGTGCTTCATGTACATGTGTCTATTCAGCCCCTCCGGAGGCGCCCAGAAGAGACTCCAACACGGCCGCCGGGGAAAGACCACCCAACATGCCCACGGAGACGCTGCAGACAGGTAGCATGGTGAAGCCGGTCAGCCCGGCCGGCACCTTCACCTCGGCTGTGCCCCTGCGTATCCTCAACAAAGGCCCTGACTACTTCCGCAGGCAGGCCGAGCCGAACCCCAAGAGGCTCAGTGCCGTGGAGCGGCTGGAGGCTGACAAGGCGAAGTATGTCAAGAGTCAGGAGGTGATCAATGCCAAGCAGGAGCCCGTGAAGCCCGCTGTGCTTGCTAAGCCCCCCGTGTGTCCAGCGGCCAAGCGCGCCCTGGGCAGCCCAACCCTGAGAGTGTTCGGCAGCAATGCCAAGACAGAGAGTGGTGTGCAGAGGGAGAACCTAAAACTTGAGATTCTGAAAAACATCATTAACAGCTCTGAAGGCTCCAGCTCAGGCTCGGGCCACAAGCATGGTTCCCGAAACTGGCCACCCCATAGGGCCGATGCCACAGACCTGCACCGGCACTCCTTCGCTGAGTCACTGAAGGTCTACCCAACCCATGGCCATGGCAGCCCGCAGGAGAGCAGCTCCCACGTGAGCAGGAGGCTCCTGGAGCAGTCAGCAGAGTCCTTCCTACATGTCTCCCACAGTTCCTCTGACATCCGCAAAGTGACCAGCGTGAAGCCCTTGAAAGCAATCCCCTGTAGTAGTTCGGCCCCTCCCCTGCCTCCCAAGCCCAAGATTGCTGCCCTCGCCACCACTAAGTCTCCTGAAGCAGACACTGTGGAACCGGCCTGTGGGGTCAGCCGGAGACCTTCCCTCCAGCGGTCCAAGTCAGACTTGAGTGACAGGTACTTCCGCGTGGACGCCGATGTGGAAAGGTTCTTCAACTACTGCGGCCTAGACCCCGAGGAGCTGGAAAACCTAGGCATGGAAAACTTTGCAAGGGCTAACTCTGACATCATCTCCCTCAACTTCCGCAGCGCAAGCATGATCAGCTCAGACTGTGAACAGTCTCAGGACAGCAACAGTGACCTTAGAAATGACGACAGTGCCAATGACCGAGTGCCGTACGGCATTTCTGCCATCGAGAGAAATGCCCGAATCATCAAGTGGTTGTATAGCATCAAACAAGCACGAGAGTCGCAGAAAGTCTCCCATGTGTGAGGACAGGCTCGAGGAGGAGGGAGGGGAGGGTGTGTCTGTCTGTGCATACTCAGTTGTGAAGGTCGTAAGGTCCCCTTGCAGTCTTGTGAGCTTCTCCACACTCTTTTGTGTTGCTTGTGGTGCAATGTTTCCGAGTTGCATGCCTGTCAACAGGGGGATGACCTGGCTTCCACTGGAACCATCTCTGCAGAGCCTGGCTGCACACACACATCATCTGCCAAAAGTTCTGGACCAGAATCTAATTAGGGCTTCGTTCTTCAGCAAAACGGTTTACACGAAAACGGTATACGACTTCTTCAATATTTATGTGGTTCTTGTGTTTTTATATCCCACGCTATTGTGTCTTAATTAAAAGTTTTATCAACTGGCTTTTAAGTTGAGAGTAGAATATTTTTGAAATAAAAAAAGCCAATTTGCCTACATGTGAGATAACCATGGGAACTTAAATGGGATCTGCTATTAAAAAGAGAGACAACTGGCCCAAAGAAGAACCAGGCTGGGTTTTCTGAGGCATAAAGTGGTGAGCTTGATGTTAATCATTTACCTATTGAAATTCTCTCGCCACTTACTGAAGTGATTGTTGGAGCAGCAGTGCTGTTTTGTGTCTTACTTAGTGTGTAAATGTTGGGGATTCTCTGTAATACTGATCCCAGTGAAAGATGATCCAGTACCATGGAGGATGACTAAAGCTAGGAGGTTGGGTGTTGGGGGGTTTTGTTGATGTTGTCTTGTTTTATTTTGGAGTAATTCAGAAATTTCTGTGATTAAATCTTTGGACAGGAATGGCTACCCTAAAGCTGATACAGGGGGCGGGGGGAATTTGTTTTTTTGTTTGGTTTTTGGTCAAGAACTGCTCAGTCTATGCTATTCCTTCCTTTTCTTCCTTCTTTTTTCCTTCCCTCCCCACCCCTTTCCTCTGTTCTTTTTTACTAGGCAGCAGGGAGTAGGGCTTGTTCAGTTTTAGCTTTTTGAAGACATGAGCAAAAATGGAAGTACACAGCCATAAAGCTTCCTCGTCAGAAGTAAATACATTGGGTAGCTGAGCCCTATCTGAGCAGTGTGATTATGTTGTCTTGCATATGCTATTCTCTCAGGCTGTGGACTTTGTTATCGCTCTAGAAAACTATAGAGATGCAACATTATGTAACTTTTCCACCCTCATGGTCTCCAATGCTGCATATCAACTTGTTCTTTTTCTTTTCTGTCATCTGCCCTCCAGGTTAGCTGGCCAGCTGCTGGCAGTCATGGTGGGGTAGCAGTGAGGTAACCGCTCAGCAGTCTGCTCCTTTGCTGTCATAGTCTCACCTAGCAGCACTACCTTAGATGCCATCAGCTCATAGGAAACTTTTTATGGTGTAAATGCTGTAAGACTTTGTACAAACTTCAGTTGTTATGAATTCTTTTAAAAGAAAAAAAAAAAAACTTTCGCTAATAAATAGCTCTGGCGCAGTCACTGATGGTGGTGGTTTCTCTCTGTCCTTCCCTTTCCTCCTGCCACAAAAGTTTACCTTTGGACTGTGAGTCAGAAGTAGATTTTTGATAGTCTTGAAGAAACATTATTTCATTATATTCTTTTCACCGTCTCCCAGTTATTTTGAACAGCAGCATTGTCAATGGTAGCTGGAGCAAAAAGAGTTCCATCAAGGTTCCCAAAATATGCTACTGCTGCTGCTTCTTAATTCACACTTTACTTGAGTTATTTTTATCTTTTCTTGAACATCAGGATTTTTCACATCTTTCCTAAGACTCATCAGTTGTAAATATTTGTAAGTTCTTACAGAGGAGACATGACTTTGAAGTAGATAGCCTTTCTTTTATTTATACAAACCCAGCATCATTAGCATGATGTGTTCATGCATTCATCCACTCATTCATTCATTCCTCTTTCAACACATTGTTTGTTGAGTGACTCCCTTGTTCAAGCCCCATGTTAGGCACTGGACGGCTGGGGTCAACAACATGGCCTCTGCCTCAAGGAACTTAGATTTTCACATTTATTGTTAAGAGAAATACTTCTCTTAGTGTCCTATTATGAGGATATTAAGTATTCTGTGAGCGTTTATTCATTGATTCAAGTTATTTGAAGACTAGTATTTCCTCAGGAAATCATATAGCAAATGAAAAAGAAAGCATTATTTAGGAGAAAGTAACTTTCAGAAACAGAAATTATTTGACTTTTAGCTATTACTGTTTATCAATATTTTCCGTCTGAAAAGTAAATGTAGTTCCTTGACACACTCTCCTGGTTGTCAATTTTTCCTGCTTCTCTGATTAAATTTCAGTTGAGCCCACCTTCCCAGAGGAAACATTTTGGAATGCAGCTATGAGCGGTAATGATACAATGCCTTACCTATAATAGAACAAGGAGCTCTGGTAGCATAGTGGCTAAAGCACTTGACTGCTAACCAGAAGGCTGGCGGTTCAAACCCACCAGCCACTCCTCGGAAGGAAGGTTGGGCAATCCTACTTCCGTAGTGATACTGCCTCGGAAACCCAAGGAGGGGTCACTATGAGTCGGGGCCGACTCCACGGCACATAACAACATAACAATAATAGAACAAAGTACATTTTCTTTCCTCACCACTGTATACAAATGTAACCATTGAAAATACACAGGGCTTAACAATTAAATATCCAACTCTTCCTGGGGCTATTAATAGATGTTTTCCTAAGGAAACTGAATATCATTGCCTGTGCTATTTCATTGATTGGGTTTGAATCTTCCAGCATTTCAATACCATATGTAAACTGTATTCAGACAGGGCTATAAATCATCCCACTTATAATTCAGTCTAATTTTCTCTGCTCTTATTTATACAGTGGACAGATGTGAAGCTTTTGTTTCCTGTAGAAGGTGGGAACTCATTATTTTATCTTAGTTCTTGAAATTACACTTTCTATAAAGGACTATTTCAAATGCCTAGTGTTAAATCCTAAGAGCAAGACATTTCATAATTGTAAAGTGTTTTTTTGCAAAGTGCTCATCCTATTAAGTCTTGAAAGTAAGGTGTGTGTGTGTGTGTGTGTGACGGTACTATTGACAAGAATATAGGATTGCCATACTTTTTTTCCCTACATGGTATAGAGTGTGTAGCATGATTGTTCTAGATAATCCTAGTAACTGGTTGTTTCTTTCTGAAAACCACCGTATCTTAAGACATTGTTCCCGTTCATCTCCTCTGTCATTGCCTTAGCTCAGTTGCTTATCTTCTCTTACCTGGACTATTGTTCCTAGAGCTGGGCTCCCCTCCCAACCAGTCTCTTCCCCCATCCCATTTAATGCCAAAGGTACCATAAGCAACTCTGATCATGGCACCCTCCTACATAAATATATCATCTGGCTTGAATAGGTTTCTGATAGAATAAATCTAACTTCTTAACAGAGCAGAAAACTTTGTATATCTGTCTCTCTGACCTCATCTCCTATATCCCCTCTGGCTACCCAGCCCGGGATCACAGGCTTCAAGCAAAGGGAAATTTCCATTGAGTACTTTTTACGACTGTATTAGTTATCTACTGCTGCAAAATTACTCCAAAACTCAGCAAGTTAAAACAATAAACATTTGTTATCTCACTGTTTCTGTGATTGAGAGTCTTGATTTAGCTGAGTAGTGCTGGCTCAGGGTCTTATGATGTTGAAGACAAGATGTTGGTCAGGGTAACATCATCAGAAGGCTTGACTGGGAATAGAAGACCCACTTCTAAAATGGCACACTCACATGGCATTGGCAAGAATCTTAGATTCCTCCTGGCTGTTACACTCCGGAGACCTCAGTTCCTAATGGCATGGACCTCTCCCTAGTGCTGCATGAGAGTCCTCATAACATGGCAGCTGGCTTCCCCCAGTGCAAGTGAGCCAAGTGAGCAGACAAGAAACCACAGAGCCTTTTACGATCCAGTCCCCTAAGTCTCACATCTCCACTACATTCAATTCATTGGAAGTGACTTGGAAATACAGTTCACATTCACAGGACGAAGAGTTGGGTGCCATCTTTTAAAGAGAAAAATATCAAAGAATTTGTGGACATATTTTAAAATGTCTCTGTGTTCTGTGAAGAATACTTTCTCTTCCTTCCTTAATCTTGCAGACGTTCTTTCAAGATTTAACACAGCCATCAGTTGGTGAGGTTGGTCTTGAGTTCTTTCTTCGTTTTTCCCACTGAATTATGATTTTTGTCATGGCCACAAACCAACCATTGCTAGCCTAAGTGATACCTTTCTGTGGAGTTTTAAAAGGTTCACCTTCCTCAAAACGTTTTCTTTTTACCGGGTAAAAACTGTCCTGGTAGATACTCAGATCTCTGATGACTGTAATTTAAACTCCAGCCCTGGAGTGCACAGCCGTACACAGCAGTCCGGAGTATACAGTAGATGGATAATAAGTATTTACTGATTTTTTTCATTACTTTTATTAAATCCTGTGCTGCCCATGCTATAAATTATATCACAGTGAACCCAACGTGGTAGTGGTTGTCCTCGTTTTAGAATTGAGGAACCTCAGTTCTTAACCAAGTCCCAGAGTAAGTAAGTGGCAGGATGGAACTTGAACTCAGCTCTGCAATTTCAGATTCTGCCCTTCTTACAACCCAGTTCAAAACAAAGAGAAACAGACTACGATGTTTTTAATGTAGGACTTTAAAACAGAAATGTCCTTAGATTCATATTGGTAATTTTATGTGCTGCATGTGCTATTTTAGTTGTCTCAAACAATCAAAATCAGCAATTTCACTCTTATCTAAAAGATAATTAAAAGTTTAAAGAAACGCTTCAGCTGTCCTATTAGGAACAATACACAGTCCACTGAGTCAAACAGAACTGTTCTTTTAGCTTTTGAGGCAATCACATTTTGAAGCTACATCTTCTGTTTGTTTTTTTTTTATTTTATTTTGTTTTGTTTTGTTTTTTGATCAAGGAGTTTTAGAAGGGTCGACAGTAAAGAAAAATGCCCACAATTCAATAATCAGGAAACACCTTCTGACAATTTGGTGAATCAACATCAC